AGAAACAAGTACAAAAAATTAAGATTTCTTGAAAGCAAGTGGTAATATTCAATCATATGTGTAAATATAACATTGTCTCCCTAGTGTAACAATATGTATTTTAACATTAAGGAAGAAATGTATTTCTTATTTACCTCTAAGTTTACCTCAGGTCTGTTTATTCTGCCTCTGTATTCTCTTCCATCTAGTTTCATGGCCCTTAGGCCTGAAGAACTTTCTTGAGCATTTCTGAAATCTCTGTTTTTTCTTTCGTCTTCTTTCAGGAAGACATTTTCCCTGGAAAAGCAGTTCGGAGTGGATGATTTCTTTCAGCATTCTGTAGATGTTCCGCTGTCTTCCACATCGTATTGCTTGTGCTGAGAAGACAGTAAACGTGGTTCTCTGCGTGCAGTCTGCCCTTTTTCTCTGGTTGCCTCAAGACCTCTTTATCTTTGGTTTTTAGCAGTTTGATCTTGACCTGATACTGTGTGCTTTTTATTTCTTATCTTCAATTCTGCTTTGTATCTACTGAGGTTCTCAAATCTGAAACGGGCCTGGGGAGATAGCGCGGTAGAATAAGCACTTCCCTGGCAAGCGCAAGGGCCTGAGTTCAATCCCTGGTTCCACCAAAAAAAAAAAAGAAAAAGAAATCAAATCTGAAAGTATGCCTCGTTGAAGTTAGCTGCTACCCTCACTATGGTATTCTCTCTGTCTCTGTCTCTGTTTCTCTCTCTGTCATTCTTTCTCTCTCTCTGCCCCTATCCCCCATCTCTTCTTCTGACACTCTAAGAATACACGTATTCCAGCTTTTTGTATTGTCCCACAAGGCCTTGAGTCTCTGCTCATTTTTAAACAATGTTTTCTTGGGCTGGGGAGACAGCTCAGTGATCTAAGTGCCTGACTGGCAAACGCAAGGACATAAATTCAATCTCTCGTACCACATGCCGTTCCAGCCCTGCTGGGGAGGCTGAGACATGAGACCCTCCATCAAATAAATAATTTTTAAAAAATGTTTTCTTTAGCCAAGCATGGTGGCACATGACAGTAATTCCAGCACTCAGGAGGCAGAGGCAGGAGAATTGGGAGTTCAAGCCAGCCTAGGCTACCAAAAACAAAAACAATAACAATAACAACAACAA